CTTGCTGCTCACACCAGAAGACTGATATCTGTGAAAGAGAAGTATCTCTCAGCATGAACAATGCAGCTACATCTGTGAATATTATTTCAATGAAATGATAAATTTCAGACCATCCTAGGGAGTGGAGAAATGGATTCTGTTCAGTTCCATCTTTTTAACAGCAGATTGGACAGAATGCAACAGCAAGAGATGATTTTGTTATCCAGTACTGGGTATGTGGAGGAACAATTTTCAGTTCAACTGTAGAACTCTATCAGTTACCATCAAAGTGTTAAAATAAAATCTTGTTGTCAAAATGAATTGCTTTTGGCCACTGTTGCTTTCAGTATCCTTACTTGGTTCTCTTCTTAGAGGGTAGAAGAAAGAATAGAAGAGCAATCTGAATTAAGATGAATGTCATGCTTCAGCACTGCATGTCTCCGAACTTTTAGGGCAGCAGAAATGAGTAAAAAGACCCCATGTTTATTGCTGTGTCCTTTGGCCTCTAGCATCCTAGCTGAAGACAAGGAAATATTGTATTCTAAGAACATAATGACAAACCTCTTTCCTAGATTGCAAGTTTATGCCAAACTGACAAATTTGTCCATTCGATAAATGTTTTCCACATTTTGGAAAGCATATTGGTGGATTTCATTTTCATCTGCTGTGTGGGAAGTGGGTTCACATTGTAGGAGAACTAACAATGAAGAAGGATTTTTTGGCTTGCTGACTCCAGTTTTCTGCCCCTATTAGCAATCATGTAGTATAATCCTCTGTAGTTATTTGTGAAACTTCAACTTGCAGGTTGAAACTAGATTAATTTATGCCTCCATTTTAATTCCTTGTGAGGAATTAACTAATGGTAATACCTTGTTTTCTTCTCTTCTGGGATGATTACTTCCAATTTAGTTTCCTGATAAAGGTTTGGGTCTTTCAGTCTGTAGACCACCACAAAATATCAAGCAATTTGCTAGATAGGAAGCAGCGAGAGAGAAAATCCCTGACTTTCTGTTAGCCTCAAATAGCTTGTCTTTGCCCCCTCCCTCTTTCACCTCCTTGTGTCCCTGAGGATGCCACCCATTACTGAGGTGTGCAGATGGACTCGCACAAGCCCCATAATGCCAACTCTCAGCACCATACTCCCTAGATATCACTGGCCTGTGGAAATTCAGTACCAAGATGCTAAAACCGTCTTTTGCCCACATGACTTACCACTGTTGTTTCCAGCAGGACCCACTGCCCTGGGGTGATTTTGAGATTTTATTTAAAATATTTAAACCTGAATCAAAAATACTTTAATTTTTTTTTTCTCTTACCTTAAGTTTAACCAGTACTAAAGTGCAGTAACATAAAATATATGTTGCTGTGTGTTCTCTTTGAATTCTCTCCTTCCTTTTCCACCCACATATAAATACACACTACAGTGTTGAATATCACAGATATAATGAAAAAAAGAGGAATCGGAAAGGGCCCAGTTGGCAGAAGGGGAGTGCTCTCCTCAGCCTCTTTTTATGTCTCTCAGTCATCTTTCACTGACTAATATAAGACTTCCACATTCCAGGAATCAGAAAGGGCCCAGTTGGCAGAAGGGGAGTGATCCCCTCAGCCTCTTTTTTTTATGTCTCTCAGTCATCTTTCACTGACTAATATAAGACTTCCACATTAGGGAAAAAATATGGTTTCAGAGTTTTGAGTTGAATATTGTATCTAAAAATATGGTTTCAGAATTTTGAGCTGGATATTGTATCTAAAAATGTGACACATGTTTCAGTAAACAAAAAGAGTATTCCAATACTGCAGAGTAACACTGTCTTCTCAATCATGTAACGGTGCATTAGCAATGAGGGTCTTCTTTTTATATTATGTCCTTAGGATTTCATAGCTCACAAAAAATACTGAACATCTGAAATTCTCATAAAACTCCTACCCATGATTCTTTCTCTGAAAAATTTGGAGGAAAATTAGTAACAACTAACACATCCCAGAAACCAGTGTGTTTTCTCAGAGGGTAATGTTACTGCAGCCACGTTTCTTTTCATTCATGACATCCATATCACATTAAAGGTGTTTCTGACAGAGCCACCATGAGGCAGTAGGACATTTAACCTGTAGCTGATACACTGGAAAACTTTGCTGTCTTGAACTTGAAGCCAGTAAATTCAAGATGTAGCTTTTCAGCCCTTTGTCACATTATGAGAAGCATTTAACATTGGTAGTGTGATGACAGACAGGAACATTTTTCATCACTGGTCAAATAAAAAAAAATTCCTGAGTTTTTTCTTCATGCATCCGGAGAGCTGCAAAACTAACCAAGGACAAATATGAGACTGCTGAAATATGAAACAATTAAAGGAAATCCCAGTTTAAATCATAATCTCCAGATGGAAAGTGTAAAAAAAAAAAGTTTCACTGGATGCTTATTCTATTCTTCTTTTTTTTTTTTTTTCAGTGAATTCTGCTTACATTTGAAATAAGAAGATTTTGTGGGTTTGTGCAGGAGAATTCAATATATATACCTATGTTTCATCAGGATCAGGGCTGGTGCTGCAGTAAATTCAAAGCACCTCCCCTAATTTAATCAGTGAATTTGAAACCTTTAAGGACAGAATTAAATTAGGCTTTTCAAAGAGTAAAAGACTGCTCATTTTGTTGGAATTGAACTCACATTAGTAATGTATTTGACATCTCATCATCTACATACCCCCATATCCCATCAGTCAGAAGTGACAGGGTTATACTTGTCAGTATAATGAAAGATGATGAACATTTTTACCCATGAGGGTACCTTGAGCTATGATGATTTTATTTTCAGGAAAATATACTTCTCAATGAAAGAAATGAAGAATCTGTGGGATTACCAGTAAAATATATTTTCGCAATGCTCAGAAAAAAAAGAGAACAGAAATAAAATTATTCTAACACTTAATAAATTAAGAGTCTATGATTTAACAATCTGCTTTAACTTTTTGGTGAATATTCCACAGTGCCTAGAGAAGTTGTGGGTGCCCCATCCCTGGAAATATTCCAGGCCAGGTTGGATGTGGATTTAAGAAACACGGTCTAGTGGAACGCTCCAACCCTGCCAAGGCAAAGGGGCTGGACCTAGATGGTCTTGAAGGTTTCTTCCAGCCCAAAGATTCTGTCTCAGGATATGATATGCTGTACCCCTTTTAGATAAATTCTGTTGCCTGAACTAGCAATTCTTCCTTTTTCTTGCAAGAGTAAATAATGGAAAGACAATTTGAAATTGACCTGAGAGAGCCTCCTGCTTAGCAAGTCAATTTAAACCCACATCACCTTTATTATTTTAAAACTTTATTTGATGCAAGTTGCTGATAGGCATTATGGGTGTGTGGCACAGGTAAGACTTCTGGTTGTGCAGCTTCTCTGATCTGCTGCTGGTAATTGCCCATATCAATTGTTTGTTTCTGAGGAAAACAAGAAAACGTCCATCTTGGAGCACATTGTCTAGACAGAAACTGTCATGTTTCTCAGTGCTGTCAACTTTTTCCCAAAGAATTAAGGTTTTTATTTCATACACTTGATTATGTGTAACATGCAATTATTTATACGCATGTTCGTGTCTGAACTCAGATCCTTTTCAACTAGATTTTGTTCAAATCCTTTTTACAGTGATCATTTCAATAGATGCAGTCAGTAAAATAAAATAATTTCATTTTCTCATTTTAGAGTTTACAATAATTCAGTTTTGGTTTACTTCCCTATGGGCTTAGAGAACAAATCTAATGCTAGTTGATAATTGGTTTTTTTTGTATATTTTTAGCATCTATTCTGGCATGTATCCCAACTGAAACAAAATAATCCCAAAACTTCTTATGAAGTTGTATATTATTCACAGTCATCTGAAAATCAGATCTTTTTCATTTAAATTCTTAACTCAGTATTTGGATATGCCATTTTAAGCACAAGCTTTGCAAACTATCAGTTTCCATTAACCATCAGGGTGTCTTCACTCAGTATTTTTTAAAATGTCTTTAATGAAAAACAAAACCAAACTGAAGCATAACAGAGAAGGTTCAACCTTAAAATTATGCCACATCCAAATCTTAATATTGAAATAGTCCTAAATTTAGGGGATTTTAGATATTTATTATGAAAAATAAATATAGCTAGTTCTGGGTTTGGGTTTGTTTAGGGGTTTTATAGTAAAAGTGCAAGGAAGCCCTCATCCACCTCTTCAGAGAACAGAGGTTTCCATTCACAGCAGAATGTTTATGGATATCCATTATCTGAAATATATTTAAGAGGAAAATAGTTAAAAAATTTGGTTCTACAGAAATTATAACACAAATACAAAATAATATATTTTATCAATGTCCATTCATTCTCCATTATTTTTAGGTCTATGTCATTAAATGTCTTGGCTATTTTCTCTTGTAGCTTTGTTGTTATTGCTATGTGTTATATATAACAGCAGTACCTACAATTCCATCAGGGAACTAACACTGCATTGTATTAAACGTGTCCAAGCAATTAGCTCAAAGCCTGTTTGTGTTCCAGGGAACTCATATTTCAGAATGGGGTGTGGAAAGGAAAAAATTTACAGTTACACTGTCAGGCCCAGATAGTTCCCCAAACCAGCCAGGGAACAATGGTGAATACAAAACCATGCTCATACCCTAAATTAATGTCCTAAAGAATTGGTTCATTGGTTCATTAAAAACCTCTTGATGCATTTCTTTCTTAGTGAAAATTCCTACCTGTATGCACGTGCTTTGGATGTTGATGGAATGTCTTCAACATAGAAAATCCTTAAAGGAAAGAGAAAGGAATTTTCATCTCTCTATCTCTGGACTTTTGGAGTTCAAAAAGTTTCAGAGAAGGAGGTGATTTGGTATTGTTCTGAGTCAATCTGCTATGGCTGAGGAAATGACGAGAAGGAAACTACTTCCCTGTCTCGGGAACCATGTGGTGTTCCAAGATAAGGCAAGCACTTGCTAATTCGAGTCCAGAAGCAGGAAATGTGATACATCCATTTCCTTTCAGGCAAACAACACAGTTCCGTGGCAGCACAAAAGCTTTGCTTCTAGTGCAAAAATCTCAAAATTCAGAAAACTATTGCTCCTGTGTGGACGTACCATTCTGTATTTGCTATTTGGATGTTATGGATAGGAACAGTACTTTTACTCCAATCACATGGCCACCAAAGTTTTGGGGTAAGGATATTTTTTTTTCCAGAATATTCCTAATGTAGATGCAGATATTTGTTGTTAATTGCCTTAAAAAAATACCTCTATATTCTTTCAAGACTCATGTTGGATGCAAAGAGTAATGAATAGATTTTGTATTTCCTGCAGTGATAAGACTGTTTTTCTGATGTTTCTTTGACAAAGTTTTATCATGTTTTTAAATGAATGAAGACAGCAGAAGCTGCCAGGGCAAAATTGATTGTTTAAAAAAGTTCATTATCGCAGTCGGTTGAGAAGGTGTCCATTGACTTCAGTCAATAGTCAGACCAGGTAGACATTCTCAACTGCTTAATGGATGTACCTACACAGTAGACATGATCTGTTTCATCTCTTGATGAAAATGGGATAGCAAAGGCTAAATGTGTTTCAACATTCGGAATAAACTCTTGATCCTCTAGAATGAAATGTTATTTGTAATTTGTTGTGCTGCCTTATGAGATTTTCCTTATTTTTCCTCAGTGTGTATTTTGATTATTATCTATTATGGCTATTTTCTTTTACCCAAATCTGGGAATAGTTCATAAACTGAAATGTACAGTGTGAAGTGAAAATGTATATTATATTGAAATTAATGCAGGGTAATTGATTTAATCTTAAAGAATTCTGTGCAATTGCTGTGGAAAATCTTTCCCTCCAAAGATTCCTTCTGTTGCTTGCTATGTTTAATATTAACATTTATTCACAATTAGCTTAGAATTAATTACATATCTGGTTTTGTCTATTGTATTATTGCTATTGAGCAATGACCCCTCCAGGAATCTGAACACTATTTGAAACTAAAAAATAATATGCATCAGAATAATACAACTTCAGTTGCACAGAGGTGCCACTGGAAAAGAGTGGAAAAAAACCCCACATGAGTGGATGGAAAGAAGTCTTTTTTTTTTCTTGTCATAAGGAACAAGAATCTGTTGAATGCCATCTAGGCTTCCTGCAGTGACACATATATTTTCCTACTGAGGCACCATGAGAGAATCACTTAATTTTTGCGTCTTTAGTGTAGAGTACTGATACTCTTAAAGTACTGATATTTATCTTTGATATATACAGATTAACTGAGGAAAAAATAGAGTTATTACTGTTTCAGAGTCTTTTGTCTGGAGGTTGTCTGCTGGCGAGTGGATGGAAAGAAGTATTTTTTTTTCTTGTCATAAGGAACCAGAATCTGTTGAATGCCATCTAGGCTTCCTGCAGTGACACATATATTTTCCTACTGAGGCACCATGAGAGAATCACTTAATTTTTGCGTCTTTAGTGTAGAGTACTGATACTCTTAAAGTACTGATATTTATCTTTGATATATACAGATTAACTGAGGAAAAAATAGAGTTATTACTGTTTCAGAGTCTTTTGTCTGGAGGTTGTCTGCTGGGCTCTGAAGAACAGCAATAATTTTTTTTACAGTGAAGATGGATGTAATTCTAAAATGGCTGTTTCAGAATAAAAACTTGCTGCATTTGACAACATAGAGCAGGACACACCTTAGCAGTCTTATTGCTGAAAGACCCAGCACCTCCTTTCATCCTCATTGCTCACCTGGCTGATCTGACACTGTACCCAGCCCTGATCATATCCCATTTTCTTAGGCTCTGACAGAAGATGAATCTCAGAAAACAGATTTTTGTGAAGAGCTTTCATGGTTCTTGAAAGGAATTATGCCTCTAAGATTTTTCTTACTTTTCTGATAGATTTTAAAGGAGTGAATATAATTTTCTCTTTGTTCTCTATAGGCATATCATGTATGGTAGACTAGGAAGGGTGGCTGTATAGTATATGTTAGAAGATGATGACTGACATAAGCTCACTGTGTGGAAACATCACTTAAAACAATAGAAGTGTGTTTCCTGACATCCTGGAGATACATGACTTGAGGTAAATAAAAAAATACCAAAAACCCAAACAAACTTCCACATAATAGATATAAATAAAATTTAGTTCTTTATTAAATAAGAATGCAGTGCTTGGAACTGCTTTTTTAAGACATGGCTTAAAGGCTGTTTTCTAAGCCATCCACCTGTAGTACTGGGAATGTTATTACATTACCATGATACATTCCTTCTCCCTGCATGTGTGACTTCTCAGCATCTTCCATGGACTCAGCCAAAGTGTAAACTTCAGCATATGCACAAAGGTTTGCTGAGAGAAACTAAGTTTGCAAGGAAAAAATCAGTACTGCAAAAACAGTCAAAGCAACTGTTCATAATGATATTTAATCTCTTACAATTTTATAAATAATCTATTTTCTAACAACTGGTTCCCTATGCTGGAAAATATACAGCCATCCTGTTTTCTGTAGTTGTCCAGTTTCCAATGATAACTTCACAAAATAGCTTCTTAAAAGTGACTCTAAGAATTTTAGAACAATGAACAAACTACGCTGTCCTCTGCTTACTTATGTGTGAGAACATATAAATCATTTTACAGTTGCTCCAGGCCAGTGCAAGTGTGCATTAAGCAAGCTGTGTAGAGAAAAACAAGATACAAACACCTCAATATAAGTCATTCTTTGTGAGTTGTCTAAGTAATCTAAACACTTTTTCTCAGGCAAAGATCTTAAAAAATTATAATGTTTAAAAAATCAGTACACATTTTTTTGCAAGCTCTGTTTACAATCAGTGACAGACTGGAGAGTAAATAACTGTGATACTTAGCTATGGACCTTGCAGGAATTCTTCTTTGATTCAGATGCCACCATCATCAATCTGCAGTATTTTTGGAATGCTAAATTATGTAGTGGAGGAAAACAAAGGATGCAAAAATTGTTTTGCTGGCCTAAAATCACTTCTGCTGCGAAAAGAAAGATATTAAACTCTTCTTCTGTTTTAAATTGATGAGTTTATGATAGAAGTCCTGGCCCTGTCAGCAAATGTCCTCTATGCAATGTGTCATAAGCAAAAAATTTAGATCCCGACTCTCGCTTGGCTAGAGCTTTTTCCTACTACAGATGTTTTGCAAAGTCTTTGTAGATATCCATGTCTGTTTCAGATAAGCTGTCTGAGCTACTGCCAGGATGCAGGAGCTCATTTCTATCAGGTGCCAGCTTCTGTGAAGCTGTGTAGCTGCTGCCCAGCTTCCTTTGCAGTGGGAATCCATGGTCTGGTACTTTGGAAGAGGTAAGAAGAGAAGCACTTAAAGGCAGTCCCTGCTGAACTTCAGCACTGCTGATATCACAGTGTAACTGTAGACAGAGAGTCTGGATTTTATTTTTTATTACTAGTTTCAAAAGGAGGCTTAATAGTAGCTGAGTGAGAAATTCAAGGTTTGATTCCCATTCATCAACAAATAATCTCACTTTTTACTGTTTTAATACAGACTTTATTGAGTTCATTTTGATTTATAAGAGTGGAAGCAAAGATGCTTCCACTTAAACCAGGAGTGCATTTCTTGTAATTCCTAAAAGCATTTTCAGTTGCACACAAGTAAATACAATAAATGTCTTCAAGACAATCCTATTTCTTCAGTATAGATAGCAATATAATTTCAGATCAGGAAATTTAATTTAAATAGTACATTTGATCAGTGTGACAGGAGCAGAGAGAAAGTGCAAGCAGATTTTAATCAACATTAACTTAGATCCCTAGACTAGCCTTCAGTCTAGTTTTACTCAAGTGTCTATTTTAAAATGAAACATTAAAATTTAATAACTTAAAAACATTAAGGACAATTTTTCTTTTCTTGAATCAGAATCCAGGGTGTTACTTGTCTGGTGTATGGAAATAATACCATAGATCAGCTGGCTTCCAGCATTTTGGGATTGCAAACTGCTTGGCACATGCTATAGGCATTGTTGCTTGGCTTCATAAGCTACAAATTCACCCATGTTTTTAAATATATCAAGTTTTGCCTAGTCTCTCCCTCAACCCACTGGTCTTCTCATTAAAATGTGTCTGTTTGTTTGGAAGAAGTCAGACCATGTGCTCTACTTTAAGAAATGGCATTAGGGATGTGCATATTCGAATGCCTTATGCTGTGTTTATCATGTCACTGGTGTAGCAATAATCGTGGTTAAGGGCTGTGCATCACTCTCTTTGTGCACTGGAGTAATCCTTGTGAAGGGCAGCACAGACACAATCAGAAACAGCTGCTGGGCATTGCAAAGTCCAGCCTAGACAGCCATGGGATATTATTCCTCTTCTGGGATCCTTCATGAGTGGCACTCATGGCAGAGTCAAAACACAACAAAAAGCAGTGTTTCTTGACTTCCACTTGGATGTCTGTGTCAGCCCATTTCCAGCATAGCCACTGGCTGGTCTGCCCTCATTCCCTTTGTTTCCCTAGTTCACATACTGTGTACACTTTCCATTCACACCTTAGCAGCAGCAAAAAGGCTCTGGGACCTGCCCCAGCTGTCCTGCTGGAGATGTGGACACAGGAAGATTGCAGTTTGGAGCCAGCTGTGGAGCACTTGACAGCAGATGTGGCAGTGGGATCTTCTTACAGACCACTGCTGTTCCTAGTCTGATGACTGAAAAGACCAGCATCTCTGAACCAGAGTCACCCAGAGGGCCTTTATCCTGGCATTGCTAACAGGGCAGAGGATTTCAACCAGCTGACGATGCAACTCCCTTCCTGGCAGAAAGGAGGAAGTAAAGTTGTGACATAGAAACACTTACAGATGATTTACAACACTGAAGACTTTTTCTTTGTAGAGAAAACCTTCAGGGTTCAAGTGGAAAAAGAGGGAGGAAAACACAACAGAATTAGAGCTTTGGATTCAGGTGATCTATCAGCTTCAAGGATTTATTCCTGAATTGTTATTATTCTTCTCTTCAATTCTCTTTTCTCCCTTTTCAAAATCATCCCAGTGTATGCATTCCTCCTGATATTTTAATTCATTACAATGAGCCAAAATAGTTCAAGGTGATTGCAGACACTGCATCACCTGGAGTTTTTCCTTGCAGTTTGTCTCTTTAGTTTTGTCAGTTCTCTGTGATTTGGAAAAAATGCAGTAATTTTAAAAGTGTAAT